TTCTGGAAGTCCAGTTTACTGCTGACTATTTTTTCTGTTCTCTAAGGTCAGTACGTGTATCCCCAAACCAAATCCTTCAGGATAGAGAATTGAGTCTCTGAATTCCCTTCTTCAGTCGTCGTTTTCCGATTTGTTGACGTCGGTGTGAGTTGGCGATTATTTGAGAATAAGGACTGGCTCTGTTGAATTAATTTAGATTAGGAGATAACTTCAGATTAGAGAAATCTTATCGTAGGTTTGAAGATAAAATTGCCGAGGAGAAGTTTCATTAGATTGAATAGGACCGCACGATCAGTAGAGAAGACAGGGAGAGTCTGATGCTTTTCTTGAAAGTGGTGAGGTTTCTAGAGAAACACATCTGTGGAGTCTAACAAGTGACATGGTTGTTGAGGAGGGGAGATGGAGACGTATGGGACACCTGGTCTGACATTTTATTCTTGGTGGAGAGGTAGACTTCACATCAAGGTCTGAATAGTAAAGGCCGGAGAGAAATGATTTTGGTATAAGTTTCCAGAGGTAGTGATATCTTGGATAACCTGTTTGAAGGTATATCCGGGGTTTGGGTTGTATCAATCCTAGAGTGATACTGCTAGGAACAGTGGTGCCACAAGGAGGATTGCAAGGTTTCAATTAATCATGGTAGAAGTGGTGAAATATTTGATACAACAAGCAAGAGATAGGAACAGAACACTGACTAGTGAAATCAGAGTAATTTATACAATATGTTAACTAGGAGGGTGTGTGCACCTACAAGCCGGTCTAATGACGCAGTCAAGCTAATAATTGCATGTCCGGTGACCTTGATTAGGCGCTCCCAGTCGATATCTCATGCTTGGTTCACGCAAACAAGGTGGGTTGGTGGCCGGTCACTGACCCAACCACACCTGTTAGCCGCCCAATCAGGCTCATGAATATCCTCTGAGTGGGCTTCTAGCGTGGGAACTCAAGTAAGCACACTTGTGCCTTACAACGACTGAAACAAGATCATGCTAATTGGACTAGATGTGGAGGAACCATAATTTTTTAGTCCCTGTTATAGGAAATAGTCCTAGTATCTGATCTCAGGATAGTACTGTAACGAAGGTTTATTAATCAAAAATCAAAGTAAAGATTGTACAATTATTGGGCAATGGGCAAAATGTTTACCTTTTTTTGCACACGTAAGTGCATGATCCTAAATTTTCCCACCGCAGGTCAGATCCTTGGCATGAAAACCGTCAAAACTCAGCACGAAGTGATAATCTTTCTCATCTGCATTGAAACATGGCGACGACACCTCAAGTGATTACCCATTTGCCAAAACTCGTCAAGCGTGGAAGTGATTTTATGTAAATATTACGACTAAACATTCCTCTAAAAATCTTTAAAGAGGGGCACACTGTCTCACTGTAAATGTACATCTCTATAATTGCGTACTGTCACGTTTTAAACCATATCTCCTTGCCAACAGCAGACTCTATCGCCCAGTACCATTCTGATCCTTAAATCAAGTCTACCTGATATACTTGAAGTACAACAGATGAAACATACAATGTGTCCTACAGTCACCTGTTTGGACTCGAGCAAATACTGACCAGCTCATGAACTTGCCAACAAGTTCGACCGTCCGATTTGTTGTTATGCAGACCGTTTGGGATAAACCACTGGACTAGTTTAATTTAAATTGTGATCCTTTTTTAATTATTTAATACTAATTTTTGGCGACCAATCCCTGATACTAACAGCACGATTGCACTTTATTTTTTGGCTTCATTAACAATCACATCGCAGTTTTATTTTATTCCAATATGATACAAAAAAATGTATGCACATCTTAAATATTCATGCTTTTAAATAAAAATATAACACTACCATACTATATACCAGACCACGGGTACAAGATCAGTGGAGACTCTGAAAACCGTTTACACGAGTGTTCCCATACAGATGATAAGCTCAGAGATTCTGAATCGAGAACCAAAGCGTCTCCTCCTACGATGCAGACCATGACTTTACGAAAGTCAGATAAGAATCTCTTCAAGTTTTATTTTTTTTCTCATAAACATAAATTAAATAAAATTAGAACCCCCAAAATTACATCCTGTTTAAAATAAATTACACTTGTTCGATTCAAATTAGAAGTAACACCGAATAGCATTTACGTGGCATGGCAAAATCATATTATGAATAATCGTATTATAAGATTGATAACAAAAAAAATACCCAGGAGCAATAGAGAAGCTGTGAGCGGGCGTAGAACTAGAGAAGAGTGAGGAAGAAGAATACCATGATCGAAGAACTCAGGAAGATTGAAATCCGTAGAAAAGAGAGAGAAAAAAACAACAGGTACCTTTTGCTGCTACAATATAGTAAGACCCTTGTCAAGACTTCTCAAACTGAAGAATAAATTGAAATTCAAACTAGAACTTAGTTCGACCTATATGAATTTAAAAAGGCGCAGTTTATATCTCCAACTCCCCAATTGCGCGCATTGTAGTAACTTCTTTCAAACTCGCGAATCGAGATTAAATCTTTTGCAGTGTATATATTAAGAAATCAATATAATTTGCACTATATAAATCACTTCGAATACTTTTTGAAATAAATAACAGCTCAAAAACACTAGTGTCCTTATTTCACCGTAAACAGCACATAGCGGTGTGTAGCTTTTCGAGGTGCCCGAAAGTACCCTTAAACGTGTTCCGTTTAATTTTGGTCGACCCATGTCAACTAATAGTTCAGATAAGCAAATGGATGTGCTTTCGGTGAGAAAACGCGCGCCATTTAAAATGTCAATTGTTGTTATCATCACTAATTTACAGGACAACCGCGGTTGATAAACAGCTGCCTTGATCAACTGACCGAGACTGGACCATCACACAGAGAAAAAGCCCGCAACCAGAGCAGGAAGAAGAGACACGGTCGTGGAGGATTCAAGATAATCCTCGTGAACGCTGGAGTTAGTTTGCGAAGTGCTAAAACAAACAAGCTCTCCAAGTACGTATTAAATTTCGCATCGTATAAATTAAACTTGGTCCCATAATTTTAATATGTTGTGGTGTTCAGTGTACGGGTTCCTTTTGCAATCACCACGATCTTAGAGTCCCTTTGGCTAAATAGAACTGAGAAATGTATGAACCTCGACACTGAAATCTGATTCACTATAATATCTGTCTGTAAACTGTTTTTTTCTAGTCATGTTGATATAACTTGAACAAAACCAGGCGGTTCTAAGAAGTCAAAGTTGGTAGAGCAAATTCTTGACTCACATAAGAAGTGAGGTGTTAACACCTATTCCAACAGCGAGATCAACTGGGGCCCAACCTCAAACGAACTATCCAAGGCGAACATATCCTGTTTCTCTTCTGGAGCGCTCAAGATAGCACAGGAAACCCCTACAGATTTGAATTATTCAAGCTCTAAAACATTTGGGTTTGTAATATCTTACCATTTTACTTGTATTAATAGTTGCCTAAACCTCGTAGTTAATCATACATACCTGCTTTTTCATATTTCCTTGTGTATAGTTGGACCACGAGATCCACTAACCAACGTTTAAACATGCTTACAGCAAATTGGATCTTGAAATAGAAAATATTGGGCCTATGCGAGCCTAGTCACGATCTGCGCTTGTACCAAATCCAGTAATCACTCTGCCTCCTGCGCACTACCTATTCAGAAGGAACGCCTTCGTTGGAGCAATCAACACCAGCTCACACGGAAGATACAGAAAACGAGGACGTATCTAAATTTGCTGACACAGGATATCATGGACTGAGACTTGACGAGCACTTGTAACGCGGGTTTAACATCTTCCCGTGCTCTAGAAGAGACGCGCCGCCAGCGAATCTAGAGAAAGTCACTGCCTCTTAAAAAAAACATAGGAAGAACAGATAAAGGGATATTCTATCAAACTGTGCTCTGGAACTGCAGCAATGAGCGAGAAAATACTGAATTCGCGAGTATTGAGATTAGTTTTCTAGACATCGATAACATGGCTTACTGCTAATCAATTTGATAAAATCGGAAGGAGAACAGTGTAAAGTCTAAAAACGTGTACAAAGATTAGAATTGTTGATGGACTTTCGCAATCATCGCGACAGCCTGAGTAATACCATGCATCACTATCCTTATCTTATTGTCTCTTACTAATCTGCCACATCTACTCTCTACATAGTAAGAAGATAGCTTTACGAACGATGTTAGACTGGATTTTCTTAGACAGAAACACTCAACACTGAATCATATATTATATATTAAAGTTAATTCCCAACCTAATTTGATTATGTATCATTGCATCGATGATTAGATATTTTATATCAGCCGGAATCTTTATTTAGTTCCTCTTAAGTTAGAATTAAGCCTTTATTTTTACCTTAAATGATAGTTATTCCCCTATCAATAAATAAATAACGAAGACTACAAAACAACAATGGTTGAAATATATGATAAGATTTTATCGTAAAATAAATTATATTTTTTAAGCAACTTATAACAAAAAGCAAAATTTTTATCATTGCAATTACATCCATGCGCAACTATCATACTCCACAATCCTCATGATATAGTGGATTCTGAAGTGCGGAGGGAGCTGCAAGCATATAATATTTCTGAACACCATACAAGCTTGAATTATAGCGAGCGTGTGTTTACATTGGTCAATAGAGAAAGCTGATTGGTTAATTCTGGTGGCGGGGGGCATATTGCCACCGTTCAAAATAAAATAAGTCCCACTTCTGTCACACTACAGAATCCACATCTGTCTTGTATATTCAACATCTAGTCTGATCGAGTGATCGGGCAACAATCCATAAAAGATTTTATTTTGAAATTATTTGCTTACAACTACATCTGAAAGTTTATAAATCTAACAGTCAACGTTTAGTCTCTTACCTTTTCTGTCATCGCGCTTTTATGTCTTCAACTGTTGGTTTGCTTTACCTCAATGTAAACAAATCGTCACTCTCGGCTGCTGCAGCAGAAAGATGTTTTGCCTCATCTTGGCCCAATCCTTGCCCAATTCAAATAATTCGATCTTCAGTAGGGTGTAATTCTGGATGTTCGATCGAGGAATCTCTAACAATATCTTTTAGAGCTCTCTGGACTCTGCTGATAAATTCCTGACGTTCACCTGAGATAAAAATCACAAATCAGCTGTATGGTTTGAGGCTGCTGTTCGAAGCACTTGGAAATGTTGAGTATTTTATTGAACATCGTCCCCGAAAAGAATTAGCCCCTTCCTCGAAGTTAGCTTCATTTCGCGGTCCAAGACCTTAGGTCGTTAATTTTAACCATTTGATCGTGCTATGAATTGCGTATCAAGTTTTTAGGTATACGTCAGCAATTCGCACTTTCGTGTCCTGATTGATATCGTCCTCATTTACAAAAATTGTATCTATTATCCTAATTTTGTTTTTGCAACACGCCTTCTCTACATGTACTCTGATTCAGCCATTTTGCGCGAGGCATTTCAATATCGGCTGTCTTTATTCATTGTTTGAAAGAGAGTGCACCGAACCTCTTCCCAGCCTCGTTCAGATCTGAAAAATTTGCGACCCCATTCCTTAGAGTATCGAACAACATACGTTTTTCATACATCATGCAGGACTCCCAAAGCAAAAAATATCCTCTTATTCTATCGTCGACTCTGATGTATCATTTTAGAACCATCTCGAGTAAACTTTGAATGCTCTCGACTAGTGATTCGACCAACTTACTGGTCGCAACGATAACTGTAGCCGATCAAGGTACATACTAGCCGTGGATTTTCTCTGGAGAGGACGATTTCGCTGATCTTTCCCTTCAGGAAGGTTTTAGCGAATTCCTGTGTTTTGACTGATCATGGTTAACTCTAGAAGCATGGGTTATTCTGACGCTTGAGTCATACTAATGATGTAATCAAGATCTTTCCAATCGAAATGACAATCATTGTAGTTATGAACCGTCTTTGAACAACACTTTTGGTCGTTAATTTATCAGTAATACAATTTCCGAGTGCGCTTCTGTTCCGCGATTCTGCAACTTGAACTCAGAACTTGAATCGGTATTAGAAGAAGCTTGTTTCTTCCTAAATTCCGCTGCTGGAATAAAGCAAGGTATAAGGATCGCAGAATATTAGTATTCATCTGAGGTTCCAGACTCCACGATCTCAAGTATATCAACACATACTGACTAAACTCAGAACTCTGGAATATGACTTTCTGATATCCTTGATACGAATAACCTCCCTATTAAACGTATGAAAAAAAACGACGGCTCCGACCCCAGCCCCATTCTCTCTCCAAAATGTTCATATTCAAATATTTCCAAGTTAACAACAATAATAGATGAATATCAATCACAGTCTTTTCATAGAAATTTTCATTAAAGACTTTGAGCGTAAAAAACAGAATTCTTGCAGGCGCAAATTCCCAAATTTTCTGATCGCTTCATCTTCTGTGGAGTAGTAACCACGGCTCCATTACACCAGTACCTACATACGGATTTCACTATTTTCCTAGCAGGTGAAACGCGGGAATTGAGCTAACATGGTGTTTTTTGGCGATAGAAACTTCATATTATCCGATTAATGTATTTCTGATTTTCGTTAGAAAATAGTTCTTTTGTGAATATAACTGTTTATTGCATATTTTCAGTCGATGTAAGGTCATATCATGATCAATCAAAACTTTAGTCTATAAACGTGCCATACATTTCCATTTTTTCGGTTTAATCAGTCAAATGGTTGTGTTACTGTTAACTGTTAGTGTTAGATCGAATATTCGTACGAAACTCGAAGAATGTTAACTTGTTACTACTACAACTGCAAGAGTGCAGTATCGTAGTATCACTATAAGTTTTATCTTAAAACGGTGTTATTAAATTTCAATCTTCTTATTAATTATTAAATCATTACGTTTATACATTTTAACAAATGAAATGTAATCAAAACATAACACATAAAAATAATAAAGTTTCGTCAAATGTCAATACTAAAAAACGAATCTTGAATGCCAAAGTCGAATTTCGACTTATAAGGGACCTCACATATTACGAAGATCAGCGAGGGGGGAGGAGGGTTTCCAAATGATAACGCTAGTGTAAATTTTGACCACAATACTATGTAAACTGATTACCGAAGAGGGCGGAAAAGCTTTTAAATCCCAAAAACTGCTCAAAACGTGATTACGTAAATATGTAACGATCCATTATTAAATTATAATAAACACAATTTATGAGACAAGGACACATCTAACAATAAAATATTCATCTAAAGTATAAGCATGGTTTACCATGAACAGGGTCTTTGGGCTCAGCTTTACTTCTGACCCGTTCCATCGCCTTGGAGATCAGATCCTCTGGGATCCCAACATCCATCAGCTTATCTCTAACCTCTCCCGCATACCTGTTCGGTGTTAGCTAAAATATACGCATTGTAGGTCTCTAACTTCTCCCGCATACATGTTCGGTGTTAGCTAAAACATACGCATTGTAGGTCTCTAACCTCTCCTGCATACCTGTTCGGTGTTAGCTAAAACATACGCATTGTAGGTCTCTAACCTCTTCCGCATACCTGTTCGGTGTTAGCTAAAACATACGCATTGTAGGTCTCTAACCTCTCCCGCATACCTGTTCGGTGTTAGCTAAAACATACGCATTGTAGGTCTCTAACTTCTCCCGCATACATGTTCGGTGTTAGCTAAAACATACGCATTGTAGGTCTCTAACCTCTCCTGCATACCTGTTCGGTGTTAGCTAAAACATACGCATTGTAGGTCTCTAACCTCTCCCGCATACCTGTTCGGTGTTAGCTAAAACATACGCATTGTTCGGTGTTAGCTAAAACATACGCATTGTTCGGTGTTAGCTAAAACATACGCATTGTAGGTCTCTAACCTCTCCTGCATACCTGTTCGGTGTTAGCTAAAACATACGCATTGTTCGGTGTTAGCTAAAACATACGCATTGTAGGTCTCTAACCTCTCCTGCATACCTGTTCGGTGTTAGCTAAAACATACGCATTGTAGGTCTCTAATCTCTCCTGCATACCTGTTCGGTGTTAGCTAAAACATACGCATTGTAGGTCTCTAACCTCTCCCGCATACCTGTTCGGTGTTAGCTAAAACATACGCATTGTTCGGTGTTAGCTAAAACATACGCATTGTTCGGTGTTAGCTAAAACATACGCATTGTAGGTCTCTAACCTCTTCCGCATACCTGTTCGGTGTTAGCTAAAACATACGCATTGTAGGTCTCTAACCTCTCCTGCATACCTGTTCGGTGTTAGCTAAAAACATACGCATTGTAGGTCGTCTTTTGAATCTCGGGTATACTATACAAACACTTATGATTAATGTGATTTGTTATAGTCGTCCAAGCTGAATCATCCCTGGAAGCTGATGTAAATTCACGAAATTCGGCTACAAATTGAAAATTGTTCAAATCGTCTAGTCTATCTGGTCAACTCGTTACGTGGTAAGTAATATTTGGTGTTTATCATAAACCAATAATTACTCGAGCTAAGTCGTGATGTACGTACAATGTGGGATCGGGACTGAAATCGGTGCTGTTTTCTGCTCCTGCTAACCATGGATGTCCCCGTATTTCTTTCAATGTAAACCTATCTTTTGGGTCACCTGGAAAATGGCAACACTGTAATAATTTCATGACCCGATATGTCGATTAAATTAAGCTGCTTTTGGTTTGATTTGTGGAATCTGATAAGCCACAAGACTAACAGTAATCATTGATTTAATTTAGGAATCAAAGTAAGTTTACACCGTAAGGCGGTCCATTGTCGTCCACAGAAGGTTAAATTGCATGAAATAATGAAAGGGGTGCAAACAGAGATAAGGAGACCAACGAACTTCTTTCTTTTTTTACAAGAAAGGCGAAGGTGCAAAGACTGCAGAGGAAATATCGGGAATATAATATTTAATCCTAGTATAATTAATGTTGGTTATAATTCACATATCATACCGACAATAATCTTTTGTACTAGATCTTTGAGATTATCGCTAAAATTCTCCGGGATGACATAGTCAACCTGCAGGATTTTGTCTGTCATTTCTTGCTTAGTACGTGCCCTAAAAGGCATACCACCAGCACCCAGCTCATAGAGTATACATCCTGAGGAGTAGAACTAGAATCACTTATCAAGATACTTTAATAGTTTATTAATGTAACTCACGCAGGATCCATTAATCATGGATATCATTCAGATGGTTAGCGATATTTTGTCTTATAAAGATTATGAAATGGTTTCAGAATTTTGTCAGAAGTATGATCACTATGAATCGTAATTGGATCCTGCCCCCTTACTTGATAGATCTAGTCTTCCCTTTACTACTACTACAGATTTAAGATAAACAAACCTAATGCCCAAACGTCCATGGGAGCAGCCAAGTAGGGAATCTTCTTGAAGATCTCTGGAGGGCAGTAGGCGGGCGACCCACAATGTTGAGTTATTAAACCTCGTTCACAAGTGCTTATTCCGAAATCAGCAACTCTTATCGTCTTATCTTTATCCATAAGAATGTTTTCGGTCTTCAAATCTCGGTGATATACCCCACACCTATGCTGAAAATACACATAGTGCATTAGATTTGAGAATTATCAACAAAAGAGAAGTAATTTTAAGCTAAACCGTAGTGGGGATTAGCCGGACGGCGGACTATGATTGAATATCTCAACTTAAATATCTATGTGATATGTATCCGTAATCCAATATGCTTCCGGTTGGTGTGATATGCTTCCGATAGGTGCGATATGCTTGATGCTTCCGATAGGTGCGATAGGCTGTACGGGTCCGTGGAGTGTCGGAAGCGCGCAATCGCTGTCACGGTAAATGTGAAAAGTTGTGCTTTATTCAAAGACTTTAAATTTAAATTTCGCGCGCAAAAGATTTTTGTCACAGTTTGTCACAGATTGTGAAAAAAAAACTGATTTGGTTTCTGTTGAATTTTGCTGATATTGGAGTCAGAGAAGGAAATACGTGCAGATTTGACGAAGTTAAGCAAAGATTTACAAACTGGGAGTAGACTAATTAGTATCATAATTCAAAGCATCAACTCTACAAAATATGATCGGCACAGATTTGCTTGTAATTCTGACGTTACGTAACGAATCGGCTAGATCGTTTGATTCAGAAAATTCTCATTCTGAAGAAATGGAAGATACAGATGATTCAACCCTCTTGATCATTGCGGATCTTTATGATGATATTGGAACTTGGAAGTGCTCTCCTAGGCCTGGTTGACTCCTATGTGAAGGCCATGAGAGTGGACAGCCGTCGGCTTGTATAGTACCCGACTTTAACTTACGATCAATTAAATTCAAGAAATGCATTGTGAATAACCGAACTTTCAAATAGTTCGAAATGCTGATCAATAGGAAACTAAAGACAGTTCTCACCCAAAGAATGGCACATAGAACATCAGAATATGGAGTACAGACGGACATTTGAAATGGGAGAAGAGGATGTAGCACTCAATACTCATCCTGTTGTGGCGTCTTTAATTTTCCAATTTGATACCTTACCTTACCTTGCTGTCTTTGATTTTTTCTTCATTTGAAGGCTCTGTCTTTTAAACAAACTGAGTGTATCGAGAAAATATCTATAAATAATGTAGAAACTACCTACTCACCATGTGGTTCACTAGAAATAATGTAGAAACTACCTACTCACCATGTGGTTCACTAGAAATAATGTAGAAACTACTCACCATGTGGTTCACTAGAAATAATGTAGAAACTACCTACTTACCATGTGATATCTAGAAATAATGTAGAAACTACTACTCACCATGTGGTTCACTAGAAATAATGTAGAAACTACTCAGTAGTCAGTACTCACCATGTGGTTCACAGCATCCAGTATTTGGATGAAGAAGAATCGGGCTGTATGCTCTGTGATTGTGCACACTCCACTTCGTGACTTACCCTTAACATAATCCTGTAGTGTCCCGCCTGAAGATGTCAAAATGTTAGAAATGAATTCCCCACAAAAAATATTTCAAATCGGTTGTTTGAAGGATCTTTGTGATGGATTACGATGGAATGCCGGAATGGTTGTGGAAGCGAAAATAAAATCTGTGCTGTATTCCAGATGATATTCCAGATGTAGCAAAGAAAAGTTGAAACACTAAATGATCCAAAATACAATTCCAGCAAAAGTGCCTATCCTTCTGCCTGAAAGGTCTTTCCAATTTTTATGAAGTCAGTCTTCAAGAAGTGTTAAGAATTGGTAAGACAGAGTTAATTCTTCCAAATAAGAACCAATAATTGTGACTATATATTTGGGGAACAACTAAGGTCAGTGTACTGATTCCACCTGTCCACTGAGGAACCATCCATACTACAATAATTGTCATGGACAATATCAAACTAGACTAGGAACTATAATCCTGAAGATAACCAGTGGTAACTAAGGGAACAACGTTTTTGTTTGTGATAACGGTATCAAATTGCCGACTATTCCCAAGTCTTTGACCTGAAAGATGACTGCAGTGATAAAACTGATGAAATGCAATGTACAAATTACTTCCACTGTAAACGGCCAGGGTATAAAATTCCTCTGACACAAGCTGTTTTAACTGAATTTTCCTTGAATAAACATTTAGCAAGGTCACTGAGAATGGCACAAAACACGATTAAGGCACTAAAAGTTCTATTCCCAAAGAAAGCGTAAATAAACGGAAATCATCAGAATAGAAAAAGAGATTTTGGAAGATTTTTGAAGAGAAGCTTTAACACTGCCGTCTCCATGACCATGACCGAAATTTCGCGGTTTTGGCTGAAATTTTGACCAATGACCAATCAGTGAGGTCGATGAGAGTGACACAAGTCGCCATCAAGGTACTGGAAGCAGTATATAATCCGGAGAAAACTTTGAGGGAATGAAATTATACATGAATGAATTAAAGTTTTGTCAAACAATGTTCCAAAACAAGACTCACCATCAACATATTCTAAAATGCAGTAGAATTTATCAAGCGTTTCTATAATTGCAAAGACTCACCATCAACATATTCTAAAATGCAGTAGAATTTATCAAGCGTTTCTATCTCCTCGTAGAGAGATGTTATATTAGGATGGTCCAGCTTCTCCATAGCACCAATTTCTTGCCTCATTATTTCCAGGGTTTTGCCACAACCATGTTTTCCTTTCTCAGTTATTTTAACAGCCACTTTTTCTGAAAATGTCGACATTAAATCTAAGAAAAAAACAGTTTTATGTTGAACGAATTAAGAAAAAATGTATCCTGAGGAGTACTTTATCATTGTGGCTGTGCAGGTAAATTCTATTTTACAATTTTATTGTTTTAGCTAGTTCAGTATATTTTTACAACAAAAAAGATGTACCTTACCATTCATAAGGAGATGATTTCCAAGTTTGACTTCAGCGAAAGCACCTTTACCTAGAGTCTGTGCAAGTGTATAATACCCTATTCTTCTACCAAGAGTAACCTGAGAGTAGACTCTTGTGAAGTGCACTATTTCAGCAAACCTATGTTAACTACAAGAAGAGTTAAAGATGCACTTATGATAACATTTGCTTTGTCAGAAATATTTATCCTCTTAATTACTTTTTCCTTATGCTCATTAATCGTTCTAGTGCATTTATAGCAGTACATTGATGATCTTTTTAAAAAAAACCTCTTTGACAAAGTTTTCTGTGTCTCTCTGCTCATTGATCAGCTTTTGATATGGTGACGCCATGCTGTTTGCTACACTGATTTGATGGAAACGATAAACATGCTTGAAAATTATAACAATAACAATATTATATATTGTATCAATCTCAATCTATGAATACCAGGTGGTACTAAGGGCTTCTTTGCAATCCCCTGCTGTCGATTAAGCCGCATTATTTCTGTGATTGAGGGTTAAATGAGGAAGGACCCAGCAAAAAGATTTAGAATCTTGTAATAATTGTACCCTTTAAGGGGGCAGGGGGGGGTCTTTATGAAATTTCTCTCGAAATTGATTTTATAGTTGTTTCTAATAGAGGGGAGTGATATCTAACTGCTACTTTTGGTCCCATGGAAAAATATTGTTCCTAGACGAAATTATTGTCGGTCAAAGGTCAGCGCTCATGTGTAATTGTATTGCGCGAGCGATTTTCAATCGCGCGCCCTGAAAATCGAGTCTAAAAATCTATCTCCTCCTACGTTTTTTGAGCAATTACCTTGAAACTTTCAGGATATGTTCTAAGGACCATTTAGAAACTTTTGCTCGTTTTAGAATTTCGAGATAGGCCTTTAAAAAATTTTTATTAGATTTTGAAAATCTTGGACCTCTTTTTTTGACGATTTTTTTCCAAGATTTTCAAAATGAAATAAAAAATGTTTAAAGGCCTATCTCGAAATTCTAAAACGAGCAAAAGTTTCTAAATGGTCCTTAGAACATATCCTGAAAGTTTCAAGGTGATTGCTCAAAAACTGTAGGAGGAGATAGATTTTTAGACTCGATTTTCAGGGCGCGCGATTGAAAATCGCTCGCGCAATACAATTACACATGAGCGCTGACCTTTGACCGACAATAATTTCGTCTAGGAACAATATTTTTCCATGGGACCAAAAGTAGCAGATAGATATCACTCCCCTCTATTAGAAACAACTATAAAATCAATTTCGAGAGAAATTTCATAAAGACCCCCCCTGCCCCCTTAAGTTTAAGGATACAAGGATACAAGATTACAAGGATACAAAAGTGGTAATAACTTTATTGAATGCACAATAGTAGTAATCCTGAAATAATTTATGTCAAAAACAATTCCAATCATTTACAAATTATATGTAAAAACTAGTGTGCCTATGACCAGGACTACAGTATCGCAGTTGACATGCAAAAGTATAAATATATAATAACATCTATAAACAAAAGAGCACCTAAAGAGGCTCAGCAAAGTGCTGGCCTATTTACGCTTACGAAGACTCATTCGTTCAATATGTCTCAAAGTAAATAAACTCCTCCATCCTACTCTATCTCTTGCTAAGTTCACTAAGTTGGTAAAATCATCTTCATTTTTCAAATAAATTTGTCTCTTAAATAGGTCCTTTTTCACAATAATATCATACAAATTAGTCCTGTGTCTACCCACTCGTCCCTTTAGTGTTTGACATCCTAGTGTAGCAAATATCAGAGACTGGTAGGCAGGCGTGTCGTTGTCACTGCGTAGAACATGACCTAGCATTGTCCACCGAGCCTTTTCCACTCTCTCGGAAAGGGGCCTGGTCTGGGTACGAGCGTAGAGGGCCTTGTTAGATATTGAGCTAGGCCAATAGATGTGTAGGATGCGCTTGAGGTGCTTCCTCTGAACAACATCTACAGACTCTAGAACATGCTGAGGTACGGCCCAGCAGCAGCAGTTGTACAGGAGCACTGATACTACTAGTGAGTCGTAGAGTTTGATCTTTCTCTTCTCAGTTATCTGACTCCTCTCTGATCCCTGGCACCACAGCTTGTCAAATGACCAGAAGGCAGAGTTAGCTTTATTTATTCTATTAGTAACATCCTGCTCTGATCCAAGCTTAGTACCAAGAAGCGTCTCGTTTCTCCACTCCTCTTTTCCTCTTAGTTCATTACCCCACTCGTCACAGGCACCAACTTCTTCTAAATACACTCTGGTAAACTTTGTCTTTGTGTCAAAAGTATAAACCGCCTATTATATTTGAAAACATGCATTACATTTTAGTAGTTAAAACGGTGCGAAAAATATGAACTCGCTCAGTCCAAACACACCACAATTTAATTCTGAGTGCCCCTCATGTATCTAATAGTAATACTTGATAGGCAATCTTGAGGTCCAGTGTCCACTGCCAAATTACCTAATTATATATTATTATCAAACTTTACACAAATCCGAAGTAGTAATATAAAACATCCTAGGGATCTGATAAGTCTACGTGTAGAACTCTGAAAACAAACTTAAATATTTAACCCACAAAAATTAAAGTATCAAGAACTAAACAAATTTCTCCAATGGTTTCTGTTCGAGGCTATATGTCGAAGTTCTGTCAAATCTTTCAAATTACATAAATTCATATTTCTTTTATTTTAATCACTCAAAATGGTTTTAAAATACTGATCTGATCTAAACAGTAAAACTCAATGCTAGTTTCTGAAGGATTTTCTCTGGAGCGGCCCAGCTATTGCAGTTGTACAGCAGTACTGGGGTAACAAGGGCCTCGTATAACTTCACTTTGGAGTTTGGTGTCCAGTGAAATTCGGGACTTTTCCAGCCAAACTTTGTTGTACTTTTCGAAAGCAACATTAGCCTAGGATACAGCGGTGAAGTTAGAAGTATGTCAGACTTGCTGCATAGTCTGGATCCCAGTGATACACTCTTCCTCCATGGCTCTCTACCTCTTAATGGCTCTCCTTTCTCGTCGACATCTAATCTGTTTTGTCTGCTATATAGAAACGGACAGAAAATCATAACAGATTTTATAGCAAATCTGTTATGAGGGGAGAGAGAGCGAAAGTGGGAGAGTACACACACACACACTTTAGTATCACATGTGGGTCACAAATTGATCAATTAAACCACCTACCACTGACCAATTTAAAAAACCTTAATCATCTGGCTTTGTCAGAGTTTTAACGGCACTATACCAAAAAAACCAGTCGCATATCTCCCGTTTTCATGATTTAACTATTCGCAAATTACAGACAGACATACAGACACATTTCTTGAGATCATTAGAATAGATTATATTCTTAGGAGACTTATCAGATCTTTAGGATGAATTTCGGACAAATCCGGACAGGGGAGGGGGTGGTTTCTGAAAATCCGGACGTCCGGAAATTTTGGCAGAATTAACGAAAAAGTCCCATTTATTTCAAATTTTTGACACTATTGCTCTGTAAGTTTAGATCCCTGTATTTTGAACGAGAAGTCGATTCCCAGAGCAGCTCATGAGAGCCGAGACACAACTCGCATATTCTTCTACTGCCTTAAAATGGCTACTTAAGTACTTAAATGTAACTGTGCTAACTGCTAAACTTGTTCAACACTAAATGAATTATTGTCTATTTTAAGTAACTACACATTTTATTAACAATGAATTTGAATTGGTTTATTTGTACTCTTAAAAGTAGCCAGTGAACAACCGGGATTCCCGGCACTGTGAATTCATGGCCCCGGCCCTGGCCAGTTTTGAGTTTTTGGCCGGGGATTTGGCCGGGAATTATAGATTATAAAAAAATTCATACTTACAACATACCTTATATTGGTAAGGGATTGATTAGCCGAAGTTAAAATGGGAAGTTTGCCCGTTTTACTCTGCAGCACTGAGCGTGAAAAGTGATAATATGGACTCTAAAAGTGCTTGTGTCTTCATACTATGGTGTTCCCCCTCACTAAAACATGTTTTAAACAATACACATTGAAGCTGCGAGTGGGTCAGATGACGATTGAGATGTTTTAGTTTAACTTTATTTATTAGTTATTTAAAGTAATTATTTAATTTCAAAATTGCATTATTTACTGACTCCTGTAGCTGCTTAACAAAATTGTGCTTGCTAAATTATAATAAAATTTCATCGACTAAAATTAAAATACAAATTATGTCCTAGAATAAGGAAATTCCTGGCCCCGGCCAAATCCCAGAACAGCCAATTCCCGGCCCCGGCCAAATTTAGTCATTCCCGGCCCCGGCCAAATCCTACCCCCTGGTCGTTAACTGAAAGTAGCTGGAAATCCGGACGTCCGGGGGAGGGGGTGGTTTTGAAAATTCGGACACACCTGGACGGGTAAAGGGGGTGGCCGTGGTCCGAAAATCTGCGATTTTGGCGGATGTCCTAAGTAGATGGCCCCAAAGTTCAATGTAATGATACGCTAGTATGAAAATGAATAAAATTTGTAGGGTTCAATGTTATTTCCTCGATCCTACAGCATTATGCAATATTTTAGTGGTAATATGGCCTATTAAAGTTGGCTGTGTATATAATATTGTTTATTCACAAAAAGAATTGCATGGATTGCTATTGCTGTGATAGTAAATTTTGCAGGGTCTAGAGTTTTATTGGAGAGCACACCGACTTTTAACTTGGCCGTGCTCAGCCTATCATTCAATTCCGCCTAATCTCTTTATGTTTATAAACATGATAGCCTGAGGTCCCCAGGAAACACCGACTCATGTTTTGGAGACGGAAGTTAAATTTGTCCATAGTAAAACAAAATTTAGTAAAACAAAATTTTTATTTACCACAAAACAATCAATACATATTTAATATTATTATACATTTACAAATAAATCTAAATTTAAATTCAGCTATATAATACACAATACACAGCCCGCCGCGCAGACAGCCACACATTGCTGAGAGATTCTCAGGTGCAGATGTAAGCGCCGCGCGCGCGAAGTTTTTTATCTTACAATTACATGTCACGATATTATTAATTATCAGAGAATTTTAGAAGCAAAATAATAATTGCATATTGGGAAAATTTCGGTCGTTAACGCAGTACAGGGCGTGGACACTGCAATGCTAATAACGGAAAATTCTGAGGCACGAGTTTCATTCAGCTACCCAATTTATATGTGACATGTACTTGTATTAAATTCAGATAAATGTTAGCAATAATCGACGTCAACATTGTGCAACTGTAAACTGCAAAATGCTAACGTCGATTATTATTAAATCACATCTAGCAAGTTACTAATTCTTTGCACTATATATGTTACGTCACTATAGCATATGTCATTCATATTGTACGTTATATAAGATAAAAATAAACATTTTATAA